AGGTCATACATAAATTTGTACAAAAAACCTTTTAACATCCTTTTTTCCCTTACTTTTTTCCTTATGTGAAGTTCTCTCTTGACGCTGACGATGGTTTTTTTATGAGTGAGGTTTTCTATTAGTGATCAAAAGTCACATTTTTGGCAATTCTCATGTACACTTCATTGGAAAACATATTTCCTTCTCATAATTTTCTACATTGAGATTAGTTTCCTATACTTCTTTCTACTTTATTAGTCATAGTTATGCATGAATGACTTTCTTGTTTGTTTTGAATGTGAGTTTTATTAATTTAGAAAATAATGTCATATTTTTTTGGCTAACAAGGGTAGTGAGAAGTGGTAGAGGGAGGGTGTGAGGGTTGAGATGGTTATGACTTTGAAGTTATGGAGAAGGATGAAGCGCATGACAAGCTCCATGGTTGGGATGAGGTGACTCGAACCTAAACTTGAAACGAGAATGATGTATGTCATATTTTGCATCTCCATGAAGTGATTTTGAGTAGAATTAAACAAAAACTTCAAAATTTACATTTGTTGTCTTTTCAAAAGATGTAAATTTATGTCTAGTATACTTTCAACAAATATAACTTTATGTAGGAAATTTTAACATGTAAATTTATGTCTCTTGCAATCACGTCTGATCTACAACAAACATAAAAAAGTCTAAAATAACATAAATAAAAAATATTTTTCATGTTAGTAAAAGTTTAAAGATGACCAATTTCCTAATAAAAAATATTCATATTCATGTGTATGTGTGAATAAAATTTATCTTGACTAATACTTTAAATGGATATACATGCTAGTAGCGAATAATAGATAAATTAGTATCCGATTATTAAGTGGGACAAAGTCTAATAACCTAAAAAAGTTACTTTATTCGACCTGACTCGTTCTTATTTCTAAACAACATGTTATGGTTTTAGGCTTCAAACCTTGACTCAACATTTTAATGCTTTACTTACAAAAATCAAAGCAAAACTTTCCCAAATATTCAATTTTGTTACTACTCTACTTACCTTATACAAATAAAAGATAAACATACCCATATTACATCCTGTGCTTGTTTATAACTTTATCTATATATTCAAAATTTAGGTCACCAATAAAATAAAAACTTAGAATTACAAAGGAGATTCTAGAATTCTTAAGAAAACAAAAAAAGTTAAAGGAAAGAAAAAAAGTTACTTGTTTGCAAAGATAAAAACTCTAAAAGTAGGAAAGTATCAAGAGTCACAGTTAAACCAACATATATTAACTTGGAAAAATTGGTTTGAGCTGGTTGTGATACTTAAGTGAAAATAAATGATTTTGTCTACAACCCAATGATTTCTATCACAAATTACAATACTTTGTTTTTTTAGGTATAAAGACGAATATAGACATGAAACACTAGCTTACAAACATAATCAATTGATAATAAAACATTGCAAATTACTCAACACATAAAAATGTTTTCTCATGAATCTTCTATAACAAAGTCTTAAATAATCATAACATTATATGATAATTTAAATAAGCATATTTTAGATACTTCACTAGAAATCAACTATCAAAAGAATATTTCAAAATCAGATTCCACATCAAATACCCTCCCCCTCTTATATTAGTCTTGAACACTAATTACCAAGAAAAATTTAAAGTATTAATACTTCAATTACCATAACATTATAGATTAAAAAAATAGTAGAGAGGAAAAAGAAAATTTGTTGTCGTGTGCCTTTCTTGAAATACACACGAGATAAAAAGTTTATAAAAAACTTCCACAAAAAGCAATAGTTCTTAATACGATTAATATTCCTAAATCAGGGACGATTATGACATGAAACCATAAACTTGATTGAATTGTTCAAAAGTGAAAAGAGACAATCTTAGAGTAGTAGGAAAATGCCTTTGAGACAGGCTATACAGCAGCATCACTTCTTAGCCGCCGTTGGTAGTCTTTCTATTTTGTTTGCCACAAATAGTAATTAAGCATGTTAATCATGTTAAAAGAATGTTACCAACATATTTTTGGACATGTTTTTTTTTTCATGTTTTTTAGTCAACTTAAAATCATCCAATAATAATATGCTAAAAGATGTGTACTAGAAAGTTTGTTGATATATATATGGTAATGGTACAATTAACCACTCTTGACAATGAAATAGTCTTGTATATTATTGTCTAATATATTTATTTTAACAACACGTTTTTATTAAGCTCGCCCATTATGTATTTATTATTTTCAAAATATTTTTCTTATGTTAACCTGTTATTTGTGATTCTTAATTTTCATGCATAAATCATAATCATTTATAATTTTTTCAAATTACTGCTTTCCATCTTCAAATTTTAACTTCTTTTATTTATTCTCGAATTAGTTAGTTTTAAATTCCTTTGAACTATTATATCTTTTTTCTTTCTACTTTTCTTATCATAACTTTAAGATGAGGACATTAAGAACAAAGGAAATCTCCGTCCATAAATCATAACATTATAAGATCATATTTGAGTGCATCATAAGACCTTTTCTTACTAAAATTTTATATTCTTAGTTTCCATATATATATATATATATATATATATATATATATATATATATATATATATATATATATATATATATGTGTGTGTGTGTGTGTGTGTGTCTCGACACTTTCAACCATCTTATCTGTGAGTGAATCATTCTAAATATTTAAGACCCAAAAAGCTTGGTGAAAGGAAACACTAAGAAGTAACACCAATAATATGAATATGTATATGTAGATGGAAATCTACCCTTAGACTTTGAGGGGTGTGATAGCTAACAGTGTAGTGTGTGTCCTACGGATGAATATGAAGGGTTCAGATGTGATCCACGACAAGTAAAAGTATAGGGGTAGCAGGAGGAAGTGACCTTAAATGGGATTCATCATTTTTTGCACATAAAATTCATGAGAAGTCACACAGTACATATCACACACATTGTTCCAGTGTATGGTCCATTTAAAAGTTGCTCCAAAGTATACTTGACCTTTGACTCCCAAAACATGTGAAGTTTTTGTATGTATCATAACAAACCCTTCATTTCAGGTTAAGACATAACAAGGTATATGAATCTTACCACAGTAATATTTCGATCTTCCTGGCTTTGTTACAATTACTTACATGTTGTTGTCTCTACATATTTAGTTTGTTTCATTATGATTTTATCTTAGAAACACACTTTAAGAGATTGAAGACATAACATGTTTCTAAACAAGTGATTTTTGCTATCTGATATGAGATTTTTTTTTAAGTATATTATTGAATTAATACAAAGGTGCTGTCAGTTCATGAATATTACTAGGCTATGTGAGACTAGTGGTACTGTGATGCTTTTTAAGCCAATCGAAACTCTTTGGAACTTCTCAGTACCTTTATGTATGAGTTTGGTGGGGTTGAAGTGATTATCATCCACATTGCCAACCAATTTTTTCTTGTCTATATGTGAAAGATATCTCATAGCTACTCGAGTAACACGTTATTTTTTTTTCATGTGTTGACGTTGAGTGAAATTATTTACTTAGCAATTTTAGTCAAGATAGAAACATTAAAATCATATGCTTATCACACCAGCTATTAATTAATCATGTACTGTATTTGAAACAGTTTGTTTACAGATGTCTACGCGTTTTTTCTATTTTTGTTGTTCAAATTAGCTTCTTTCTTTTTACCATTTTGTCTAAGAATTTTGAATTTCATGTAAACGGTATGTTGTTTTAATGTATTGAGAATTTCTGACATGTTATTATAGTGTGTATCATGTTCTATTGTAGTTTTGGCTATAGTATCTCTTTATATTAAAATGTAACAGACTATATATGATAAATTTGAGCAGTGTGAGGCCATGACCTCCTTTTCCAAATGTCTGTAATCTAATGATTTTCTACAACCACTATATGTCTTCGTCTATGCTAAACTGGAGAAGACAAACTTTTGGACCAAGAAATTTAGGTTCAATTTTAGCTTAATTAATTTAGTCTGAGCAAAACGTGCACAAATTTCTTGACAATAGAATTTGTGTTCTAGCTAGTACATACATAGTGGCATCAATCTTTATCATATGGATAAAGTATAAAGCTTTTTGTCTTCCACAACCTTTTCATAACCTTTTAAATATGTGCTTCCAAACCAGTTTTTATCTGATTAGATGCACCACCAACATCAAACTTAAAATCAAACTGTCATATGTATATATATGATAAGAAAAAGTCAACTAAATCCCTTCCATTAGAAGAGCTTCTTGAATTGAAAAATTTGATGGTTCTGGTTAATTAGTTGTTTCTTACATTTCAAAAACAACTTATAACAATTAAGCTCCAGTAGTAATAATGACAATCGGTTTATGTCAGTGCAGAATCATGTAAGCAAAATATGACAGTAAAAAGTGGTTTTAAGGTAATACCCTTCTGCACTCTATAGCTTTTCTCTTGATAAATACAAAACTGCATGGACATGAAATTATTAATCATGATCAGAACCTCAACATTGAAAATATAAAACAGTTTTATTTATTGCCCTTCAATAATGGACTACTTTTTATGGTAAAAGTATTAACTTTTACAAAACTAGCAGCATACCAAGATGATTTAGAGTGTAAATATACATATGTGCAGTCATTAATATATCATATTTTTGGAAGTGAAGTTGAATAAAATGCATATGATGGTGTGAGATATCCCAGTGATATTTGTACAAGTTATTGGTCAACCTGGTGCTGCAAAAGGTTTGGTGACGGTAACCAGTTTTGGGGTAAACAGAGTTAGCAGGCAGTGGTTAGTGCATTTCCACAAATGCTGGTATCAGTTGTAAAGTGTGAAGAGGGTTCACATGGGAGCGTGGAGGGAAGTGGCGCGTGAGAGTGGGAGTTCCCTTTCACTTGCCCTAAACTGCAGCAAAATTAAAAGTATGCAGGAAGAGATAACAGGGAGGTATAGAGAAGGGACCATATTTACTAAAATTAAATTGGGAAAAGAGAATGAGATAAAAATAAGAATAACTGGGGTTTCCATTTTTTTGTAAAAGAAGATCAAGTGTGCCCCTTTCTGTGTTCATTGTCTATTTCTATATAGCACACTAACTTCCACTTCTCTGAAACACACACCATATTATCTCATCACAACAACAACAACAACAACCACTACTGCCACTACTACTTATTTCTCTCTCCCCTTTTGCACTAAACCACACTCTCTCTTCTATATCAAGGGTTGATCACACAATTTCTAATAATAATTCATAAAGTTAGAGTTATTGTTTCGAGACACACAGAAAAAGAGAGAGAGAGAGAGAATGGGAAGAGGGAGGGTTGAGCTGAAGAGGATAGAGAACAAAATCAACCGCCAAGTTACTTTCTCAAAAAGAAGGAACGGTTTGCTCAAGAAAGCCTATGAGCTCTCAGTTCTCTGTGATGCTGAGGTTGCTCTCATCATTTTCTCAAGCAGAGGGAAGCTCTATGAATTTGGAAATGTTGGGTATTATCTCTTTCTCTCTCTCTCTCTCTCTCTTTCTTTCTCTTTCTCTTTCTGTTTCTTTCTCTTTCTCTTTGTCTCTGTGTGTGAACTGCAAAAATCTTAGCTACCCTTGCAGTTATTTAATTTGTCCACATATTTTGATTTATTTTTTGAAAGTTTTGTGTCCATTTTTGTGAGGTGCAAATCCCAATAGGTATTAAAATTTTAGATTTTGGGTTTTCTGAGTGACTGTGTGTGTGGTGGGTGGTGCTGAGATGGATACCTTCTTCTCTTCTCTGAGCAAACTCACTTTCTTCTTTGCATCAGCTTCTTTCACCAAAATGGCCACTGGTTTCTGCTTCTGCTTTCCTTTATTTTGCCACGACTGAATTTGATGTTTTTAAGATTTTCCCAACACACCTCTTTCATCACTCACTTTCCACCCATTATTTCTTTTTTTTTTTTTCTTTTGTACCTTGTGTTCTTCTTCTTTCTATCAGTCACCGTTCTTGGTTTAACTTGTTTCTCAAACACTTGCACCTTACACTAGACCCCCCTCCTCCTCTCTCCCCCTCTCTCTCTCTTAGCTTCTCCTTTTCTGGATCACTGGATCTTGTCACCCTCTGTGATAAATTAAGCCTATTTTCCTTCTTTTTTATCATCTCTCTTACCCTTGTGGGGTTCTATTAGGAACTTTCATGGCATGGATTCTAGGGGAAATTTTTCAGGAGTTTTTCTCTCTTCCAATTACAGATCGACACGTTTTCTAGTCCTCCCACCTGATATCTCTCTATTGTGAGATAAAGCTTTCAGCTTTGCACACTGATCTACTGATGGAACAGTACAATCTGTTTCCTTCTCTCTCAGAAAAATAAAGGAACAAAGCAATCATATGTACCCAGTTTCGTAACATAGTGTAATTAATTAAAAGGACATGCTTCTGATAACTCTCCTTGTACCGTTGTGCAAGATCTAGGGCTTTCACAACATCTTCCTCTACATGGAAACAATATAATATCATTTTTTTTCAGCTTCCAACAAAGCCTTAAAGTTCCTAACACTCCAGAATCTGGTTCTTAACCTTTGTTTCTTTGATCTTTTGGTTCTATCACTGTATCTTCCTGGAGAACGCTCTATCTTATGTGTCTCTCATAACATAAATTGCTGTCTCTATTTCTTGAGTTTGGACTTTGGAATCAAAGATTGGTGCTGCTTCTCTTTGTTGTCTTTTATTCTTAGGTCTTTTACATGATCAAATGATTCTCTTTCTCTCTCTTTCAGGGAATCTTCTTAATTATCCTGCGTTTTCTTTCATGTTTATGGACAGGAAAGATTGCTTATTCAGCATTGTAATTAGTTTAATTAGGTTTTATTTTCATCTGTTGGGTGATGATAAATTAAAAAAATAAAAAGGAAACATGTTTTTTTCTTCCTTTTCTGCTAGCCCTAGTCAAGGCACGACTTGTTCAAAATATGAAAACGGGAAAAAGAAAAGAAAACTATAACCAGAAAAAGAAAACTAAATGTTCTAAATTTAAGCTAAAATTACAATTTCTGTGATGTTAACATATTATTGTGAACATGATTACATCTGTCGCAAAATTTCGCATGTGCTGCTAAGATGTTTGAGTTTATGTGGTCATAACCTTAGAGACTGAGAAAGTGGATTTGTCTTGTTTTCTTTTACTGTTTTTCGAATTGTGCGTTATCTTCTCACTTATTTCAGCATTTATTTTTTTCTTCGGTAGAAAATAGCGTAACTATATATCTATGTATTGTATTTAATTTCTTTTTTTTTTACTGCAAAGAGATATTCTTTTTGAATCTGGGAGAGTCACTTTCAAATTTTGAAGATCATTTGGTTATCTTATCTTTATCTGTCATGGAATAAGATACATATGAAATTTTATTCATGATTTATGGAAAGGTGTAGCCGTACTTGATCTGAAACACTTACCATAATTTCTCCATTTTCTACATCTTCAAAATATAAGAATTGGGTCATCTTCAATTGTTACAATCATAACGTTTTGTGTTCACAATAACCAAATGGATGAAGGATTATTTGTGAAAAACCGCTACACATTCACCTTCATTTTATATACATCATATATTAAATATTTATTTTTTCTTTCTATCCTTTTTTTTTCTTATTTGTTCATATATTCTATAAATATATTATATTTTTAGGTGTATATCAAGTGTTGATGAATTTTTTCATGTAAATGAATAATTTTTCTTTGTGAAAAAAGAAGCTTATTTAAATTGTAAAATATTTGAGAAAAATAATTTATTCTTGGTTGTCATTGGTTTTGTATGGATATTTTGGTTTGATGAAGAACATGTCTGCAGGCTGTAAGCATACTTGGTAATTGTCTGTTTTGAGTACAATCATCCAATAGTAGCTGCTTTTAAATATTGTTTTTCTGATTTTATGTTACAGAGGTGAATTTATAGGAATAAGATTTTTAAATAATTTTGTGTAAAGAAACCAAAGTAAAGAAAAATAATGTGAAGAATTTTGTGTGCATATACATTTTTTAATGTAGAGAAATAATATACTGGTAAGTTATACTTAAAATTAGGTTAAAAAAAACTTCAGAAAAAGTTTTCCAAACATCAATTTTTAGCCATAAAAAAATTGTGTCATAATATATTATGCTAAATAATGTATCCGGTGCAAACCCTATGGCTTAAATTTTAGAATTTGAACCTTTAATCCACTTTTATCCTCCAAATTAACTTCTAATCATTCCACCTATTGAAATCGGTCAAATTTAAACCTAAACATATAAAATTTTTGAAGTACTTATTTTACAAATTTGAGTTACCAGTTGGAATTGCATACATAATCAAACTATTGATTAAAGTTTCAAAATTCTGTTTACATAAACTTCAATGATCCAGAAAACTTTGAAACGTTCATCATCGTTCATATTTTCTTTTTTAAGTGGGTATTATTTTAATTTCCTTAATACAACATGAAGGACCAACGTTTGCATTATTACACAAATAAAATTTTTTGGTGTAAATATTGACCAATAATCTGTTTCCTTCAATTCGCAGCATTACCAAAACTATTGACCGATACCAACGTTGCTCGTTTACTCCTCAAGATGAACAACATGTTGAATGTGAAACTCAGGTATGTATTAAACTTTTTAATGATATATATGATGCATTTTTATATTTATATAAATTGATCTTGTTAATTTTTATTTTTAATTTTTTGTTTTGGCTATCAGAGCTGGTACCAAGAGGTGTCAAAGCTGAAGGCAAAGTACGAGTCTCTGCAAAGGACCCAGAGGTAATGCTCACTATATTCTAAAATGTATAGTGATAAAAATATACTTATGAAATATTTAGACTTTATTTTAAATTTATCTAAAAACATTGCCCCTTTTTTAATTTCTTTCATTTTAAAATGTATATATAACTTTTAATCCTTCAAAGTGTTATTTTTAAAATAACCTTTTCCTCTATAAAATGCTATCTAATATAATTTTTTGTCTCTTAATAAAATGGTCTCTAAATCATTACAAAATGGCACATTCATAATGACTAAAAATGGATATTTTATATAGAAAGACTACAACTGAACTTGAAGAACATTTTTTCAACAGTGAGATGTAAGTGAGTGTTAATCAGAAACAAAGAGAAGTTAATATGGTTTAGAAAATGATACCAGCTCATGTAAAAATTAACTTTGGAATTTATTGTCATTTTAGGCATTTGCTTGGAGAAGATCTTGGACCATTGAACATAAAGGAGTTGCAGAATCTTGAGAAACAGCTTGAAGGGGCATTAGCACAAGCCAGACAAAGGAAGGTGCCAACATATATATAGAACTTTCTCTTTATTGCTCTTTGGATTTCTTGTTGGTACTTTACCTTAATTAGCTTGTAAACCATGTGCCTATATAATAGAAACTGACAACAATCTTTGCACTACTTTAATCTAACTATACTATTCTTCATACTCTTTCTGATATATATATATATATATATATATATATATATATATATATANGGTTGTTGCAAGTCAGAAGTACTGGTGGAAGAAGAGGGTCCACCTGCTTGAAATTTCTTGCTTCCACCTGTTTGCTCGTCTTGCTCAGGAAGTTTTCTCTTAGATGTCGCAAGGTCATTCTGTTCTTTATCAAGCTCAAGTTGGGAAACGAAATTCATAAGAGCATCAAACTTACTCTCCAGCTTCTTATCTGCAGATGAAGAATCAACAGCCACATCATGAACTCCTCTAATAACAAGGGCAACATTTCTTCCACTGAACTGCTAGGAGTTAAAGGCCATCTTTTCAATCAAATGCCTAGCCTTAGTAGGGGTCATATCACCAAGGGCTCCACCATTAGCAGCGTCAATCATACTCCTCTCCATGTTGTTTAGACCCTCATAAAAGTACTAAAGAAGGAGTTGCTCAAAAATCTGGTGGTGGGGACCTATGGTAGTCTTAATTCTGAGATGAAAAATAAAATTAATACAACTAAACTATAGCAACTTTAGTATTGCTAAGATAATAGCTAACAAAATAGAAAGGGTAAATTCAACCCTAAGTCGTCTCCCATCAAACACAAAATTGATTCTTCACAAATTAGTAATAAAAGCTATACAAAAAGGGTTAGTAAAATAATAAAAAAGATAAAGATAAAAAAAGATTAAAGAACAAAGTAACGAAAGATAGAAAGAAATAAATTTGTAAAGAGATTTAAAAAGATAAAAACAAATATAAAGAAAATAGGTTGATTTCACTAGTTTTTCAAAATAGGATTCGTCATTGGTTATCTATAGATTATTGTTCAATTAACTATTATCTTAGATTTTCAAATTAATCAATATAAATTCTCAATTAATTTGTTGGCATTCTCACTTTTAACCAAAGTACATTCTCAATTAAAATCAAGAAATTTGTAGATTAGTCATAGTAAATTTAACCAAAGTACATTCTCAATTAAATATTACCATGCTTAATCATGTCTATTCTTTTACCTCTTATCTCAAGTAAAAAGATAATTAACCAAAGTACATTCTTGATTAATTCTGGTTAAAGTTTTTACCACTAATCAAAGTACATTCTTAATTATTGTCAAAAACTCATTCAATGATATGAAATTTCTAACTTTAATCAATTCTCAATTAAAATTAAAAACCCTTGGACTCATATGATTTATATGTTATGTAGATTTGACACCATGCTAAATTGCTATAATGTAAAAATCATTACTTTTACTTGATTAAGAGGCGAAAGACATAAATAAAAATAAATCACAACAAGAATCAAAAGAACAAACAAATTTATTCATTTAACCTCATAATCCAGTTAAGAAATTCTAGCACAATCAACCCTAGAGGCTTAACACTTCATGGAATGATGAAATAACATGAAAATAGAAGAATAGAGGGTGGAGAACATGATAAAAGAGATAAAGGACGAAATTTGAACCCCCAAAAGGGTTCCTCAGCTCTCCTAAAGTGTTTTCCTATGTCTCTTTATATAGAAATTGTACTGGGCTTTGTTTTAGGCTTTTTTGTTGTTGTAATCTTCTTTATGATAATGTAATCTCCTCCAATTATCTTCTAAATAATCCAATATCTTCAAAATATATTTGATTGTTGTGGAGATCTAAAAATATTTGAGAAGATATATGCTAGATTAAAAAATATTTGGTAAATATTATCTTTTTGATATTTATTGATATAGTTAAATAAGGTAATTATTTAACAATATCAAATAAAATATCTTAAGATATGTTTTTCCCAAATTATCTTTAATCATAAACATTTCTCAATTATCAAAGCCTTTTGGTAGAAAAAAATAGAGAAAACCGCAAGATCCAATTTTTGTTGCGTGTTCCCTCCTCTTAACTTAGCCAAATTTCTTCACTTTTTCATGCTATGCTTGGATTAACTTATTGTGGTCTTGATTATTTGTTATTCTTGTATGTATCTTTTAAGGTGTCAGGAAACTTTATAACCAATTTATTTCCACACATCAATGAGCTCAACTTAGCTGCAGTTGCACTAACACACGTCAAAATATCCAAAAAACATTTATGCAACTGAAAAGTTATTTTTAACATGTTTTTGTATCTCATGCTAAATAAACTCAATTATAATAAATCCTAATTAAAGTATTCTATTAAAGTACAAAAACCAATTAACAATCCAATATTAAAGGCTAAATGAAGACATAAATATGTACTCATCACTAAGAGAAAAGAAAAAACAAAATTTAAAACAAAAAAACCAAACCTAAGACCAACAACTATTGTTCACGTTCTAGAGAGAATCATGTTTTATGTTTTTCAGAAGTTAAAAATGTGAGTGTGGCTACATGGGAACAAAACCCTAGGCAATGCAAATCGACCCCCTCTCTAAAAATGGGCCTCAGTTTAAAATCTAGCCCAAACTACAATAAAAACTAAATAAAAATAAAATGTTGAGGTAGACAATGTTAGATGACATGGTAGCTCCTCTTGAAGTCTAGAATAAAATTCCAAAATTTTGTCTTGAAAATAATAATGGAATTATTAAGTTCAGAACATTCAAATTAATTAAAATATGAATTACTAGTCTAATTAAACCCAAATAGAAAAATTGAGAAACTAATAAACAGTTAAACACAATTCACCAATTAAATATGGTACAAAAAGCTAAGTGAATGGGGAAAATAATGTTTCATCAAACACCTATCAAGAATCTCTTTTTTACTAAAATAAAGACTTGCAACCCAAACCATCTCTTCTTAACATAACAACTCACTTGATATTACTAATAATTCAACAATAACATTCATAACTAGAATCAGTTCTAAACAAAATCAACAAAATATATTAACATCATTCAACCAATAATCACCATTTTAAAAACACTTCATACTCAATAACAACCATTTTAACACAATTATCAACATGCATAAGTTTTATTTACTACCAAATATTCTTTCATATTCAATAACTAAAATATAAATTAACTTTAGATTCCCTTACCTCTTAGAAACTCCAACTAGTTCTAGAGAACCCGACTTTGCTCCCTCATCTCAAAGAGACCAAACAACACCTACAAACCACAAAAATATGATCAGGGTATACCATTAGAACCACTTATTAGTAGAAGACATAAGAGGAAACTCAGACCATACATGCGACAAGGAGGAACTTCACATGCATTGAAGAACATGAAACTAGAGAAAAAGGTAGAAAACTGACTTACTCTATTTGAGAAAATGATCGGACAAACTTGAAGATCTTAACGCGAGGATCACAGAGGTGGTCGCTAATCTTCAAACAAATGAACAAGAAGCAGAACCTTCATAGAGAAGGCATAAGACTCTAAAAAAGTGATTTCTAGAGAGAAATGATGTGTTTTAAAATAATGAAACTCATTTATAACCATCCGTTTTATATTAAAACCTTTTAATATTAAAATAATAATATCATTATTTTTAACTCACTACCACTTCTAAAATATCATTTTCTATGTCTTCACATTCTTACTTTCACTCATTAAACAAACATTAAATAAACAAAAATATATACTTACAATAAAAACATGTTGTCTAATAGTTATTTAAGTGCGTCTAATAATTTTTTTTTAAATACCTAGCCTTTCCTACCCGTGCTTATATAAGTATATAAATTATGAAAAATATTTCTCTTTTTATCATGACGTGAGATCTTGAATATAATTTTCTAATGTTAAATCCAAGTGTTCTCTATTTTAAATTTTGCAGTGCAAATTTGATTTTCTGTGTTATTTAAACTCTATATTCTTTAGTGTAAACCACTTAAAATCTACTAATTATTGTAACATTATTGATTTATGAAATGTGTGAGAAGACTGATTTGTCGTAATCAGAATCTCAATAAAATCATATTGTTGTTATTAAGAAGATAAAGAGGCACTTAGCATGAGGAGTTTGTTCCCTACCATTGAGATCATGCTACATCGGTGTCTTTCCCTCGTCCACATATATGTTTTTTACCTTATCACTAAACAACATAGCATAAATGCTTTACATGCTTATTATTTCGCTTTCTGTATGTCTTTGCCTTTGTTTCCTACCCATTACATTATCTTAATATCATAATTCATTGTCATATTATTTATTCATTCTCCTTCACTAAAAAAATTCAAACTGAGTTAAGCAAGTGTAGAAGAGTCTTTACAAATTGATCTTCTATTACGTTCCAACTTTTAAAAGTACATATTAAAACTCCTCAATCCACTTTATATATATATATATATATATATATATATATATATATATACTATTTGATTTAGATGGGTCAAAAACTGAAAATCGTGAGACTCTAGGTAAATTAGCATTATCTGCAGGGAAGTAATCTCTAGAATGACGAAGTTTCTAAAGAAATTTGTATTTGAAGCTTTGAAGAAATCTCAAAGCAGGTTTAATTCTTATGTATAGTTCATTCATAAAGTGCGGGCTTCAATCTGTTTTACAATCACTGGCTAATACGGTAGAAAGATATATTGATTTTGGATGATATTATACCTAAAATTTATTTCAATTGCAGACACAAATCATGATTGAACAAATGGAAGAGCTCCGCAGAAGGGTGAGAATGTTACAGACACTTTTGGTCTTACAATTTTTTTCATTTTTGTTATTTTTTGTCAAAACTAGTTTTCTAATTATCCAAGTAAGACATTTGAAAAATTAAGGTGAAAAATTTTTACCCATCTTGCAGGAGCGCCATCTTGGAGATATGAACAAGCAGCTCAGACTGAAGGTTTTATACTTTGGAACCAAACAATTTCTGTACCTAAGACACCTGCACCATTGTAGTATATAGGATTCATGTCTTGTCATTTTCTTTTTTTCTCATTCTAATTTCTTCATCAATCGAATCCCTTTTCAGCTTGAATCAGAGGGATTTAATCTTAAAGCTATGGAAAGCTTGTGGAGCTCTACTTCAGCTGCTGGAAATACTGCCTTTCCCTTTCAACCTCCTCAAACCAACCCTTTGGATTACCAGACTGAACCCTTTTTGCAAATAGGGTAATGAAATTTTCCTTTATGCAAATGATAATCAAATTTCAACAACAGTTGTTATTAGTCTAACAGCTTACTCACACATAAACTTCATTTGAAATATCAGAAATGTGTAAGATTGATTGACATTAAAAGTTGAGAAATTCTAAATCAGGGTCTTACATTGAACAGGTACCAACAATATGTTCAAGCTGAGGCATCTAATGTTCCAAAGAGCATGGCTTGTGAGACTAACTTCATGCAGGGATGGATCCTTTGATTAATAATGTTATTGAATTAAGTATATGATTTATGTTATTGTCTATATATGCAAGGATTTATCTTTGTGTTTTGGCTGTTGTTAAATGTTCTTTGTGAGCAGCAAAGTTTCAGACTTGTTTAGTGTTTTCTGTAATTGGATACAAGTACAGACAATGGTTTTACCATATGTTAAAGCAATGCTTTTCTTTCTAACTTTGTGCATGTCTATTTCTCCTTTCTTCACCACAAAAAGCTTTCTCTATTTATGGGAATAAAGTCAATAAATCAAAGGTGAAAAAGACCAGAGAAAAACAGTTCTTTGCTAATATTGTTCAATCAATTCTCCGTTATTTCGATCTTTCGAATCTTTTAATATTATCACAATATATGTTATCTATGTTACTGATTATCGGTGAGGCTCAAATTTTTACTTAAAACCTTTTCTTTATTTTCATGTCTATTATCTATATTATAAATATTTTCTTAGTACGAGTGTTAACATTTAGCGATCGAGAGACTATTTTAATTCAACTAATGATTTCTTTTTCTTTTTTCTTTTTGGTGATTTTCAGCTTTCCCTTTAAATTTAATTTAATTTTTAAATAATTATGTTATCGATCTCCCTCACACAAACATGTAAAGAGAAGATAATAATATTTATATGCTCGTTGGAGATATTATCCGAGAACCTAGAACATATTTATTCTCATGTTTATACATATTTTATTTTTATCCATTAAAAATATTTATTC